GAACCCCACCCCACCCCATCGTTGACGTGACGTAAGATTTTTTTCCTCCTGAGGTAACTTTTCTTTGGTCCTCCCACCCCGACGGGTTATTTCCTCTCTTTTTTTGCAGCTTATTTGGTTCGCCGTCGTCTCCGTCGTTGACCCCGTCGCTCGGCCCGTCCTAGAGGGAGGCTGCCATGGGAGAGCGCGCCCGAGCAGGATGCGGATCGCCGGCCGGAGGGAGAGCCCCCCACGACGAGGATGCGGATCGGCGGGCGGAAGGAGAGGCCGCCCCGATGAGGATGCGGATCGGCGGCCGGATGGAGAGCTCTTCTCGGCGAGGTGAGTCATCACTCCATCGCGGAGGCACCTCCGCGGGAGCACCCTGTGGCACCCGAGGTTGCTGATGATGGGAGCGCCTACCATGGGCAAGCAGTGGCCATGTCTGCTTTTTGCCTCTGTTTTATCTGATTTTTCTGGATTTGTTTAATACAAGTGTTCGCTGAAATTTCCCAGCCGTAAGACTGCCCCAAAAACTTACGTTCCTGCCCAAATCCATTCTGCGGTTCAAGATTTGCAAGCCCAGGTCGTGCGACTGGCATTTACTGCCGCACGACGTGCGAGTGGCACTGTTTCAGTTTTCAAGCGGGGGCGGGAGGGGATTCGCACCCGGCAGTTTCGCTCATGGACTCATCTCCAAGCTTCCGCCGGCAAGAATCCGAGGACAATGAGCCTTCTCCGATTGGCGGCGAGAACTCCACTGTGCGCCATCCGGCGATGCACACATCCACGTTGACGCCGCCGTGTATTGTTGAACCAAGCGAGATGATGACTCCAGATCCCAGCGCAAGATACATACATGTACGTTCCCATTCAATTTAGTACCCAGTGTCTCACTTTGCTGATGTACATACCTTGCTATGCATACCTTGCTGTAAATTTCAGTATCCAGTGTTTGGGGCAGGTCTGTTATTCATCTCTCTTTTGACGACTGAACCTTAGTCAGTGGAAGATGCCTTGTATTTTGATTGAACTTCAGTACATGTTGTAACTAGATAGCATTATCAGGATTCAGTTCTATTCATTCTTAGGATGTGGCGTCATTATATTGTTGGCTAGCACACTGCTGGATGGCTTCTTTCGACCATACTGTTCAAGGAAGGATCCACGGATTAACTAAGTACATAGCTAAAGACCATCTAGTGCATGCCTGAGCTTCGGGATGGAACAGGAAATCTATCTTTCTAACCTAGATTAACCACTGGTTCAAGCATTTGAAGTTGTATATTCCTACTTCAACAGTTTCTGTTCCAAAGAAGACAAATAATTGAAGGCGCTCCTTCTACGGAACACCCCAGATAGGCCAATAGGTTCAGCTCCGACAGTCGTTAAACGGACCACTCGCTCCTAAGATTGATACCGTAGCGATAGTAGTGTACTGTACATACTGCAAACAACATACTAACATTATCGGTTATAGTACAATAAGTATATGCACTAAGCTTTCAATCTTCTTTTTCTTGCCAACTTACTGTGATAAGATAGAAATAAATTGCCTTGAGAACATTTTTTTTGCCCAAAGTATGGACAAGCCTGAAGCTGCAGCCTGCTCAATGGTAAAAAGCTGATATCTTGCCGTCTCTCCAGCTTCTGCAGTCAGTGGAGGGATAGACTTCAGATTTTTGGTGCCCTGCAGGGTCACCAAGGCACACTAGATTAGATTTTCTGCAGGCATGCTAGAAGCCAGGTTCATTTGAAATGCATACCTGCTTTTATCATCAGTCTGCCACAGCAAACAAACAACACCCAAATAAAATATACTGTTCACTCAAGATTCAGACTTTCTTTCCCAGACACTTGACACAATTTTTTACCCAGTTTGCATAAACATAAAACATCACATTTGCTTAAAAACAAGATAGAAATGCCTAGTGTTATGTCCAAATCTGTAGATGTCTTCTTTTAATTTTTCGGTATTCTGTAGAAGGCCGATATGCCTAGTGTTATGCTTCTTCATGAGATATATAGTCATCGGAATGGTCATTCGGATGAATGACAAAGAGTATCTAATGTATGCAATGAATATGATATCAGGGTAACCAAGTCCGCGAAGATTTTGTCCCGAAGGAAAATATGGCTTTCATCACCAATGAGGAAGGGTATGAATTTATCAACAATATGCAAGATCAGCAGGTTTTGGTATTACCAAGCTCAAGCGGAAGCCGATGTCGCGTCTGTATGCATGCTCCCGGGGAGGTGCCAGTACATTTTACAAGCCTGGGGAGGAACGCAAACGTGCGAAAATGTCCAAGAAGGTTAACTGTGGGGCAGCTGTTAAAATCAAGAAAAGGGGGAAAGAATGGATATATGAGAAAGTGATGTTGGAGCACAATCATACTCTGAATCCTAATCCATCTGAATTGAAGCACATGTATTCACATAAGAACAAAGATCCTCTTATCATGGAGGTTGTTGATGATCTGCAGACCTGTGACGTCTCTCCTAATACAACAATGAATGTGTTGACCCATTTTCATGGCAACTATGAGATCATGCCAATGAATGATCGTGACTTGCGAAATAGGTAATTTTATGACACTTCTTTCTGCAATACAGCTGTCCATGAATAAAATCCATGTGGTTGTAACATAACTGCTGTTTCTTTCATGTGTTACTTCCAATATCAGAAGAGCAGCCAATGTACTTAAGAAGCGAGCTGATGATGTAAAAAAACTTAGGGCCTTCTTCAATGAGTTCAGAGCACATAACAGTAAATTCTATTATGATATAGAGGATGACTCCGAGGGCGTTACGAAGAATATATTCTGGAGTCATGCTAGCTGCCAGGCAAACTATGCTGAGTTTGGTGATGTGGTTACTTTTGATACAACATATAAGTGTAATTTTTACAAAATGCCGTTGGCGATGTTTGTTGGGGGCAACCACCACTTGCAGAATGTCATTTTTAGGTTTGCACTCCTCCGTGACGAGACAGAGGAAACATTTAAATGGGTTTCCCAGACTTTCAAAACATGCATGGGAGACAAGGAACCTCATTGCATACTTACAAGTATTGTTGAGCACTTCGTGGCTACATACATGTCGTTTCAACCAATATGGTAAAACTTGTTCAATGACTAATATCCTCTTTTGCATATCAAGATGTAGCAATGGAAAACGCTCTTCCACACGTGTTTCCAAACACGTTGCATAGGCTATGCAGATGGCATGTATGGGAAAGGCACAAAGTTGACTTGAAGCCACTGTTTGACTTGCATGATGGTTTGAAAGATAAGCTACTAACGGCAATAAATCACCCACTTACCCCTCTAGAATTTGAGCCTGCATGGAAGGATATGGTGAATGAATATGGCCTTGAGTCAGATCCTACGATCTGCAGTTTGTATGATCAGCGTGCACGTTGGATTGCGGCATACTTCAAAGCTGTTTACTGTGGGAGAATGACGTCTACGCAACGCACTGAAAGCATGAACAGACTTGTGAAAAGACATCATGTTAACACTACGACACCTTTGCATGAGTTTGCATGAAAAATGTACCTAGTCTTGCAAAAGAGAAAAGAAGCAGAAGGCCGAGAGACCATTGCATGTCAGGTATACATCTCAAATGATTACATCTTCTAGTACGCCTCATACATAAATTTAAATCGTTGTGTCATTTATACATTTGTAACGGTTGCTTGCCATCATATAAATTCTTTCCATCCTTAAGCTGCATTATTTATATTCTTAAGTTGTTGGTGTTCTGCAAACAAAACAGAGTATATCTAATTCTTTGACACATCCATGCTGATGCAGGCACGCCCAGCAACAATAACAAACTACCCTCTCGAAAATCAGTTGAGCAGGATCTATACCCGTGCCGTATTCAACAAATACAAAGATGCATATGTTTATGGAACATCTTTCCTTACCAAGAAAGTGGATGCTGGTCGTTTCCTTGTGGTCTATGGTAGAGATGGCCCGTCTTTTTCTTGGTCCCAACATGAGTTCAAAGTGGTTTGTGATGAAGAAAAAGAAGACTACAGATGTGAGTGCATGCAGTGGGAGCACACAGGTAAGTAGCATATGGTTTGTCAATTTTTCCATTGTGGATTGTTACTAGGATGACCAACAATAAAATTATTCTTTGTCATCCCACCTTGCACAGGACTGTTATGACCACACCTTATTATAGTGATGACAAATGAGCAGATTCAGAGGCTTCCTAGCAAGTATGTGCTAAGAAGATACACAAGGAATGCACGGATTGACCCTCCTTACGACAGGAATGACACTCTCCAAGTTGGAGCCGATGGGACGCTAGTTAGCGTGACGCACTTTAATATGCTCAGGGAGGCTTTTGCCTGTGTTAGAGCAGGTGACAGATCAACAATTGCATCTGTAAGAGTCATGAATGTGTTGAAGGAACTTAGGGCGCAGGTCGAGGATCTGCCTGCTGATGTAATGCCCGTGTTTGATGAAGGAGGTTGCAGTGCTCCAGCTGACCGTGAGATGATTAGTTTTAAAGCCCCGCCACTATCGAAAACAAAGGGCTCTAGATCAGAAGAAGGATAAACACATATCGGCGCACGCAGGCCAAAGAAGTGCACAAGAAGATGCAGCAAATGTGGCCTTATGGACGGTCACAACAAGGCGTCATGCACCAACAAACAACAAAGCATCGCGGTTGGAGGTACCAGAGGAGGCAGGGGGAGGACGGGCATGGGGAGCGGAAGGGGAAGGGGAACTACAACTCGGCGCCGTTTAATAGATGAGCTGGAAGAAGAGGAAGATGATGTGGTAGATGGTGAATGATCTCGCGGAACAGATGATAGCGATTAGTCATGTTTGCTGATGTGTAGATAACTTAATGTGAAATCTAAGTTGTGTTTTTCATTACGACTCATGTATTCCTAGTAGTCTGAAAGATATTGAAAAGTTATTATGTCTAAAAGCGTGTTCCGAAATTATTTCATGCTTTACCTGGTTCCTGGTGGGGAACATTCAGTATTTGCTGGCATAATTTTTAATTTCTCCAGCACATTTTGTATGTCGAACTATCAGTTTTAGCATAACCAGCTGAAAACAAACCTTACATCAAAATTCCTGCAATTACTGGAATTTTTGTGAGTTCATCTCAAACATGAACATCAAACTGAAATTTTTCTATTTTCTCATTTGTGATAATCTAATTTTTTTTTCATCCGTAATAATCTATTTTTTTTCATCCATATTCAAAGGGAACATTTATGTATTTACGGTTATGTGCAGCACATTTCTAGATGATATTTAATGGTTGTACATTGGGACGAAATTGCGGAATCTTGACAAGTTTGTGTTACGAACTTCATATCACAAAAATGGGGGAGTGCAAGATGTGCGGCTTAAGGGGTGGGACACATAAAAGTGACTTTTGTAACTCTTTACCAACTTTCAAATCCAAGATTTAGGAATAAAAAAGAGGGGATACATTAATTTGAGTGTAACAAGAACCGTCCAAGCAGTCCTAAACAAGTACTCCCGAGTACATTACAACACAGACACGAAGAAATATCAGTTTTGGTCATAAACTTATAAACATACAAGGCGCTATCTAATTTACATAGTCTGTTTCTCTCCTCAATTTCTCCAATGAGTAAGGTAAGGGATTGATTTCATTCAACTCATGGAACAGAATATAGGACAAAACTTCATCCCTGTACTGACTAGTCTTTGCCTGCGAGAGATAAATTATGCATTAGAAATCAAAATAATAACAGAATAACATCATCCAAGAGCAAGGGAATTCATGAAAAATACCGGATTAATGTTACAACGGAGCTGACCAACTTCACCATCATAGTGGCGCAAGAACTTTGTAGTGAAAATGGCACAATCATTGCCTTGTTGTCGAGGAACATCCTTGCTCCACATTGGCCATTTAAAAAATCTTGAAACTCTCCGCCAGTAACTGTGCGAAAAGCCTCACTTAGCCGTTCAATTGCTCTATGACCCGAGGGAAAATTTCGTTCTTTAAATGAGCTAAATCTCTCAGTCTCAGACCAGTCAATCGAGTCTAGAACATCAATACGAGTGTGTTCCAAGTTGACACAGTACACTGCGAAGTGATTACTATGGTGATATGTCCAAAGGATCTGTACATACATAAATGAATAATAAGCGAAATCTACCACATTGTAAGTAATTTCACTTGAAGGACAGTACATATACTAACCTGATTAATCTCTTTAGGATCAATGCCATCGAGATGCTCAGCCAATAAAGTAACAGCTTTGTCACTATTATACACCTGACCCCTGTGGAGCTCTTCACAGTTCAACATGGACTGATGAAAAGCATAATACACATAGGAGTCATATGTGAAATATGAAGATGAAATCAAAAGTATGCATTGTTGGTAGAGGGTGAGGCTAGCTAACATACCCCAAGAGTCCAACTTAGAAAAAGCGTATGACCCTTCCACTGGGTTGGGTGTAGCTTCTCATCATGTCGAACACATTCGGTGAAAATATTCATGATCTCTACCAAGGTCGTTTCACTGTCCCTAAAACAATCAGCCAAATCCTCGCCAATCGTGGACACGCCAAGAGAGGCATTGGATATAAGATTTACCCTGGCAATGCATGACATTAATGTTCAACAACAAACAATTTCGAAAATATAACAAGCAAAGGCCAATTCAAATACTTACTTCTTCAAAATTTCGTCGGATATGACTATCTTACGAACTCTTGCAGTGTTGCGAATATCGATAGAACAATCTATTAAGTTTAGTGGGAACTTGAAAACTGAACGTGGTTCGTTTCTTGATTGCTTGGGTCTCCTCCTAGTTATTGGCGGTCGGCTTCCAAAGAAAACATCTCGATAACCATTAACATTGCTCTGCGTTTTTCTCGCCGTCGACATGTTCTCCGGTCGAATAGAGATGAGCTACATATAAGGAGGATAAAAATTATTGAGGCATCATTTTAGTGTACAAATGTCATTCTAGTTGAACGGCCCACGGAACAAGAAATAATCTTTATTAATCACCTACTTTCTGCCAAACATATTGTAGAAAAACATAAAACTTTCAACAAAAACAATTTAGAACATTAAAGCAATGCCATTTTGTTACTAACTTCTGAATGTTGTGCAGTCCACTCCCTCACTTGTGCCGAGTTTTCTGGACGTAGGCGCACCGGTGTCTCATCAAACGTAGGGGGAACTACATGCTGAAAGTGCAAAAATAAAAAGGCACAACATGTAACAACAAACCTTCAACGCCTAATCTTGTTAAGAATTTTGTTGTCTCCATAAATGCACCAATGTACCTCGTGCTGACCAACCGTCTTTTTCATCGTAGTATCTCGAAACTGATGAGACTCTTTCTGCGGTTGCATCGCATTTTCACTTACATTTGCGAATTCAGCCCCAGAGCCAATTGCGTGATCTGGTGTCTTGTCGAAGACAATAGGGGGTACATGCTGACAGTGCAAAAAGGCAAAAGCACGTAACTTGACATGCAAACCATACATAACTTTAGGAATTCTACTTGAATCTATAGCATAAAACTACTCTACCTCGGCATCAGGAAGTTTTTTCGACGACTCCCACAAATCTGTCAAGCTTGCAGTTCCACCAGCAGATGTGGCCAATGTCTCATGCTGTTGTTTGGGTGTCTCATCATAAAAAGGAGCTCGGAGTCCACTTGACTGTGAAATATAGGAGTAAAAGCAACACAAGCGCAAAATGTCAACATCCAGTAGAATCGCTTAACAAATTAATAGTGAAACAATTGTAGAACCTGACCATGTTGCTCAATGGACTCAAGACATGCGTCCTATGGCTTGCCAACACCCCAGCCTGCACTGCTGCATCAACCTTTGGATGCAGATCATGCACATGATCCATACCAACATTTGTATGACCACTATTGGTTGAAATGACTTCGTTACTGGGCTCAGTTTCCTCCTCGTCGGTATCTGCCATGGAGTTCGAGGTACCATTGTGTGGAGTCCATTATTTATGTAAACAGAGTGTGGCAATGTCAAAAAATTGCTTGTACCTGATGTAAGGTGCACAAGATCACCTTCGTCAGCACTAGCGGAACAATCCATAGGCTCTTCAGCGGTGACCCCTTCGTCATCGAAGTTGCCCATGTCACCTATAAGGAAGAAAAAGTGGTTAAAACTGCATGAAACATACAAACAAACGCCTTATGAAGAAGAACATATACCATTATCATAGCAAGTTTTGCACACGCCATTTGTTAGAACTTCGTGATCGGGATCATTATAGATACACTGTGAATTCCACTGACTGCCAAATACTCCATCCAAAATTGCACCTGTGTGATAAGGCCACCCGTTTAAAAAACATAGAAAAAGGATAAATATATTGACAATGGCCACAATACCATAGTTTGTGGCACCTTGTTGAGATTTTGGAACCCCAGCAGCCATAAGAATCTGAGTGTAACTAAGGTTGCTTGTATCAAAAACATTGCCGCGGCCCTCATTAACCGTCACATTTACACAGTTATCAACAACAGTTGTGGGTCATGGTTGCTGCCTCTCATCATGCAAGTTTGAATCTGCTCCCACACCTGACTGGGGAAATTGAGCAGCAGTCGAAGCAGCCTTGGGGCTTGGTGGTGGTGGTAGTGGTGGGTTCGATCGAGAATCCCCCACAATGCACTTGATTTCCTGAACTGTCGTCGTCAATCGATCACATATGTTGAGCACCAGCCTTTGGATGTCGTCATCGCACATTCGCAATGCCGACATGGCTGCAACCTGTTGTGGATCGCACAAATCATCAAAGCAACCTGCGAGGTGACGATGCATGCTAACAATACATGCAGGAGGAGAAGAATGTGACCGACACAGGATATCTGAACTACTTGGAGGAGTGCCACCAGTTGAAGGGGCCGCACCCTCCATGTAGCAAGTGCCCATCTGACTCCTCAACTAGTAGAACAACATAAAATAGAAAAACATATGTGTGAAGATGTGATCAAACAAATGCATTGCAGAATGAAATAGTTGAGCAACTTACCGGCAAAGCACCAAATGTCACTAGTAGAAAAAGAGGCTTCCGTCCAGCCTCATTAGTCGCGAAACTGTAGGAACCGCGACTAATGAAGTCTTCAGTCGCGGTTCGGCAGATGAACCGCGACCAAATGCCTGGGCCCAGGG